TCCGCCCTTCGGTTTGGGGACAAGCGGCCCCAAGGTCCCTTTGGGTGCAGGTGGACGGGTGGGATGGGGTGGGTTGAGGGCAGGACGGGGCATCCCACCCTTCCGACGGCTACGGAAACACGTGGGGACGCGCAGCCTCGCACCACCATATTGGGGGGGGGACACACTGCTGTTGCCACTGGGGTCTTCAGGCCCAATCATCTCATTTTCTAACCCATTTTTTCCTTTTATTTTTTTTTCCCCCCAACTCACAGGGTCCTCAAGGTTTCCAAGGTCCCCCTGGTGAACCTGGAGAGCCTGGTGCTTCTGTGAGTCCTGCCACCTCCTCCTTCTCCTCCTCCCTGATGTCACCTGGGGATGGGGACAAGGCCCTGGCCGTGGCCACACTGTCCCCATGCTGGTGGGCTGTGGGAACAGGACTGCAGGAGCCTGGTGCTGCCCATCCTGGGTGACAGGGTGACAGGGCACAGCTGTCACCCACAGCATCCTCACCCCTGCCCTGCATCTCTCCTAGGGTCCCATGGGTCCCCGTGGTCCAGCCGGCCCCCCTGGCAAGAACGGAGATGACGTAAGTGCCCCTTGGATGGGGTCACCCTCACCTCAGTTTGGGGCCTGGTGGCCCTGCCAGTCCCCCCCAGGCAAACAGGAGCCACCTGTCTTGGGGACATGCCACCAACACGGTGTCCTTCTCCTTAGGGTGAAGCTGGAAAGCCCGGCCGTCCTGGAGAGCGCGGTCCCCCCGGCCCCCAGGTGAGACGCTCCCTGCCAGGGTCCCCTCCCTGGGGTGGGGGCACAGGAGGGGACACCCCCACCGTGACCTGCCTGGTGGCAAAGCAAGGATGTGACACCAGCTGCCTTCCCCCCCTGGGGACGAGGGTAAGGGGGTGAGGGGACAGTCCCCCCTGAGCATCTCCATCACCGCCTGCTCTTCTCTCCTAGGGTGCACGTGGCCTCCCAGGAACTGCCGGTCTGCCGGGCATGAAGGGTCACAGAGTGAGTCCCACCCCCCATGCCTGCAAGATTTAGGGGAAGGGGGAGCCCAACCTCAACAAGGGGTCTCCTCCTGACACCCCCCACCCCTTCCTTCTCTCTCCTGCTCCCCAGGGCTTCAGTGGTCTGGATGGTGCCAAGGGTGAGCCTGGTCCTGCTGGCCCCAAGGTGAGGAGTGGTGACAGCGTCACCCCTGTCCTCCTGGTAAAGTCATCGCTGTTCCCGCCCTCCCTCCGGAGCAGGGCCCTCAATGTTGTCCTTTCTCCTAGGGTGAGCCCGGCAGCCCCGGGGAGAATGGTGCTCCTGGGCAGATGGTGAGTACTGGGGTACCTGGGGACTGTGGCAGGGGTCTGGCCTCGGCCAGCAAAAGGGGACGGTGAGGCAAGACGTGATGGGGAAACAGCTCGTCCTCGGGGATGCTTCCCCAGGGAATGGGGTGGGAGGGGGTTTAATCCCCTGGAAGTGTCACTGTGGGAGGGACTAGGGAGTAAGGGGATGGGAGGAGCCCCTGAAAGGGGAAAGCATCTCTCCTGGTGACCCAAAATGTGTCCCCTTCCCTCCCCAGGGTCCTCGTGGGCTTCCCGGTGAGAGAGGCCGTCCTGGTCCATCTGGCCCTGCTGTGAGTATCTGGTTTGGGCAGGGCTGAGCATCCTCTGCCCTGAGGTGTGTAGGGGGGGCTGGGGGCCACCTCTCCTGCCAACGGGCATCACTAATGGGTGTCTCCTCTCCTGAAGGGTGCTCGTGGTAATGATGGTGCTCCCGGTGCTGCTGGTCCTCCTGTAAGTATCCCCCAAACCCATCCACTCACCCCCCCCCACCAGCACCCGACATCAACTCCAACTTCTCTGGAGGGAGATCCCATCCCGGTTCCACCGTGGCCAGGAAATCCTGACCAGGGGCCAGAGCTCTGCTGCCCAGAAAATCCGCCAGAACCAGATGTGTGAGGAGGGATCCCTCCACTGACATGTGCCCTCTCTCCCATCTAGGGTCCAACTGGCCCCGCTGGTCCTCCCGGCTTCCCTGGTGCTGCTGGTGCTAAGGTAGGACCTGCCTGACCAGCTTCTTCCCAGGTGGCATCTCCTGGGCTGGGAGAAACTGGTGGAAACTGGGAGTGTGGGGTGTGGGAGAAGGACCGAGCGTTGAATGGGTTCCCCACGTGGCCCAAAATGAGAAAGCCCCAAGTGCCGTGGGCTCGCTGCTGCCTGGGACGGTGGGGCAGACAGGGATGGCCCCAGCCAAGTCCTGTGGGCATCTCTCCTGGCTTCGTCTCCATGGGAAAGGAGCTGCAGATGGAGGGCAAAATCAGCCGTGTCAGGGGTTTCAGGGCAGCCCTCGTGCTCACGGCTCTTCCTCCCTCCTCTTCCTCCCCAGGGTGAAACTGGTCCCCAGGGAGCTCGTGGTGGTGAAGGTCCCCAAGGTGCCCGCGGTGAGCCCGGTCCCCCCGGCCCTGCTGGCGCTGCTGGTCCTGCTGTAAGTGGCATCTGATGGCTCCTCGTCCTTTGGCCTCATGTCCTGCCAGCCCTGGCATAACCCTCCTCTTCCTCTTCCTCTCCACAGGGCAACCCCGGTGCTGATGGTCAACCTGGTGCCAAGGGTGCAACTGTGAGTGTCCCTCACCCCACCCGCCTGGCTCTGGACTGAGGGACCGTGCTGCTCCCTCACCGCCTCCTCTGCCTCTTCTAGGGTGCTCCTGGCATTGCTGGCGCTCCCGGCTTCCCCGGTGCCCGCGGTCCCTCCGGACCCCAGGGTCCCAGCGGTGCCCCCGGTCCCAAGGGTAACAGCGTGAGTATCTCCGGACACCCCCATCCACCTCCTCGGGGGGTCAGATCCCTTCTTCTGCTCCAGTGAGCTGCTGTCCCACCTGGAGATGTCTCCTCTAACATCCCCCTTCCGCTCCAGCCCTGCGAGGGCAGGATGGTGCTGGGGGCTGACAGATGCTGAGCACCCCCCCTCCTGCTGGCAGGATGAAGCTCAGGACTCCCTTTGCTCCTCGATCCGGTGTTAAAAGCTTTTCCCTCTTTTCTCCTTCCACTTCCAGGGTGAACCCGGTGCTCCAGGCAACAAGGGAGACACTGGTGCCAAAGGCGAACCTGTAAGTGACCCCCTGACATCGCCTCAGAAGCTCGGCCCCCCCCTGGCTCCCGTGCACCCCATGGGTGCTCATCCCTTCGCCTCCTTCCCCAGGGTCCTGCTGGTGTCCAAGGTCCCCCCGGCCCAGCTGGCGAGGAAGGCAAGAGAGGAGCTCGTGGTGAGCCTGGCCCTGCTGGGCTTCCTGGCCCTGCCGGCGAACGTGTGAGTAGGAGCAGCCCCTGTCCCATCCCCGCCGTGTCCCTGTCCCCATCCCCGTCCTCCTCCCATCTTCCCACGTCCAGCGGCTGAGCCTTGTGGGTGCTCAGGGACAGACACCCGCCATGGTGACATCCCCAGCCCCACCGAGGTCTCCAGTGGCGCATCTCAGCAGGGACCCCAGGCTGCTCCCACTGGTGGCCACGTCCCATATCGTCTCATCCCTCCCCTGCACCCCCAACCCC